AATTTTGATGTTTTTCTTCCTTCATCAGCTAACACTTGGTGATAATGAGTAAATCAATATCACAAAAATAGAAAAATGGGTAAGAAAAGAAAGAAGACCAAAAGCACCAGTTTCTGTGCTCTATAAATCTTAATCAAACTTCAAGGCTAAAGAAATGCCAAATGCAGTTGAATATTAACTAATCATGTGCAGCTTGAGAGATTTCAATGTATTGGGATTCTCTCCATTTAGCCAGAGTAAAAGTGAAACCAGGAGTGAAGTTATTTTGTTCCACCAGTATTATCAACATTCTCCAGAAACTTATAACGTATTTCACTTGGAGATTATATATATATATATAGAGAGAGAGATATTGGTTTCAGAGTGAGGGAGAGGGATAGAGAGAGAAACATCAATGATGAAAGAGAATCATTGATTGGCTGCCTCCTATGTGCCCCATGTTGGAGGCCAAACCTGTAACTTGGGCATGTGCCCTGACCAGGAATCAGTGAACAGGATGATGCTCCATCCAACTGAGCCACACCAACATGGCTAAATATCTCTTAATTTAATCTTGAAAGTTGTAAAGTAAATGTTCTAAACACCACAATATTGTTCACCAGCTATGAAAAGTGAGAGAAATGATGTTCACTCAAAGAATTATATAGAAAGGCTTAACAGAGAAAACAAAAAAGAAGTATAACATAGAAGTGTACCACCAGCAAGGTGTATTTTACTCTATATAAATTTAAAAATCAATTTAAAATGAAATAAAACTTTTGACTTTTGAACTAACAAACACAATAGAAATGCACCTTTATTTTTATAACTTTATTAATACCTATCTTAATGAATATAAGAAAACATGCAATACAGAACCTGGAATAGAACAATGAATACACATTTGCCACTGGACTACATACTGCCATCCTGGGTCATACAATATCCAACCTTCTCACTTCCAAAGCATAGCTAGAGCTGCTTTGGGATACTGTTCACTTTCAGATACTGTATGATGTCACAGAGGAGGAATCTTCTCCAAATACAAACATAAATCTATATTTCATAAAATTCCAAGTATTTTAAACAGAGATAGCATAAATTTCACAGATTTTATTTCTAAAAATATCACATACAGTCACGAAACAATTGCCTTCGTATTTTTTTTTTTTCATTTGTGCACACACATTTTTCTGAGAAGCCTTTTCATTACTATTGTCAACTGTCAGCTGTTGTCAACTTGGAATGATTTTAAAAATCACGCTTACTGAAAGCACTTGGATTGTTAATGTACAAACGCTACTATGAATGAATATTTTAAGGCCTCTGTATGAAATTGCTCTGGTGTGGTAATTGGCACATAATGTAAAATTTTTTTTTTCAAATATAGGTCAGCTTCTCTTGCTCCCACATTTTCCAGGGCATTTGTGCCAATTGGAAACCGCCAAAACAGTGTGTAATGAATGTGATAAAAACTTTTTCTAAACATAACTACAAATTTGGTTTGAAACAAATATGAAAGAAGAAAAACAAAAATGATCACCATACTGGAAAATATGAATCAAAAGAGTGTAAAAAAAAGCCTAAACAACCAACTAGATGTTCATAAATAAATGTATATTAGGAGATATATGCATATTCAGTCTTAATGTAAACAACAAAAAAATAATTTTGACAGATACATGTGGGTCAAATTTTCTTAAATTTTCCATGACTAAAAAGGATTGTGTGTGTGTGTGTGTGTGTGTGTGTGTGTGTGTGTGATACGACTTCATTATAAGGAAAAACTGCACAATTTGTGATTTGTTCAGTCTACTTTTACCCATTTTAATGAAAGTGTGTGACAAATATTTGTTTGGGAAGGCAGAGGCTCTTCATAACTGTCACCAATACACAATAGCACTAATTTTTTAACAGCCATTTTTGCTAACCGAGTTTACATTACCAGAAACAAAATGTTAAATAGCTAAATGAGACTACACAAAATATACTCTCTAAATTTATTACACTGTCTGTATCATATGTAAGTTTGATTTTAATACACCCACACGGTATTAGCTAAAACTTGAAGATAAGATTCAAGAAAAAATGTGTAAGCACTTAGCATATAAGATCCACAGTGATTGATACTTATAAATGTGATATATTAATGCTATAGCTAGTGAATTATTAACCACATGTAACTGAACACAGCCACAAAAATTGAATAACCAGTCTCACTGAACATATTATCATACTTGCCATTCAATTTGAAGTTTTAATTTCAAACTAAATCAAATCTATTTCTTTTTTTCAAGGGAATTATTTTCAATTGATGGTAAGACAATACTTTTTGTACTTCTAGGACTAAATTTTTGCACATCAGAAGAGCCACCTTCGAGCTTTGTCAATCTATAGCTCTGTCTATCCATTCAAAGAAAGAATTTGCATTACAATGAGAAAGATCTCATCAGATCTGAAGCCTTAGAAGTTATAGGTTGCCAAGGCTAGGCCTGTGGAAGCTTTGAAAGAGAATGCATAGGGGAGATAACTGGGCTCACTCCCCTTGCCTCTTTGGCTACTTGCCCCCTGCTTCCGTTCACTGCCCCTCTGGCACAGACCCAGAAGAGGATGCCCAGTCTTTTCATATTATTAACACAGTCTAAGCCTGACTATATAATCAGAGTTAGAAAGGGCAATAAAAGCATATTTGTTCATTCCTATATCTCTAGGAAAGGTAGCAAAATATTGCCAATTTTTACATTGGAGGATTTAAGAGCCACACTTAAAATTCAATAAATCACACTACAAGAAAAATTCCTAAATATATAATTTTCGTTCCTATTCTGATTTTTATCAATATAATAATCAATCATATCCCTAACATATTATTTATTTTTTTCAGTTTCCCCTTTTATTTATTTTTATTTATTTAATTTTGTGTGTGTAGACCATAACTAAAATGTGGAAATAAGAAAATGTGAAAATAACTAAAATAGAAGAAGATATTCTCATACATTATCTTCGCAATTTTTCAGAGAAAAAACAGCCTAAATTCTACTGGAAGCTCTGATTTTGTCATTCTGGGTTTCTTTATCTTCCCCAGGTTTAAATCTTCATTGTCAACAATATCAACAACAATATCAACACCTACACATGGTCATATTTCAATAATCTGTCAATCATCATCAGTCTTTCAAGATTCACATGCACCTGGACTACCAGTATGCTCCAAATCCCTTTGAATATTAACAAACACAATGGAGAAAATATTAATAATACTAATTAATTTGAAATTTCACTAATTAAACTCTTGTAGTTAAAAGTGAATAAGTTGTTCTACATACCAAATCAAATATAATTTAAAGAGTTTCATAATGGGAACAATATATTCTCAAAACGCTACGTAATCTGCTGGGCACACTAAGAGAAGCTTTCTCAACATTCAGTGGAAACCTTCACCAATGAAATTACACATTTACCACACTTTATATTACAACATTTACACACAGCTTAACCATAAATTACATATCTTCAAGTTACACATTACAAAGTCTACATCTAATTTAATTAACAAGAAATATTCACTCCCCCCACCCCAATTAATACATCAATTGTCTCTCGATTTAGTATAATACAGAAACAAGACATTTTCTTGGTTTTGCTATGGAGGAAAATTAAGTTGGTGCTGTTTCTGTATATTGGTGAAATGTGCACATAGACAAACATGGCCAGGTATAAGGACAAAACAAGAAAAGAAAAAAAAATTAAAAACAGACAACAGAAGGAAACTAATGTTCCCTAGGAATACTACTGTATTCTTTGCTTAGAACATATTTTGTTTTCAGATATGATATTTTGTTGTGTCTTTTCTTGTGTGTTATTGGGGTATTTCTCATCTACCCCAAGAAGCAGTCATGAACCTCATTTCTCCCTCTGCACATCTCCTTAAAATTCTATACTATAACACCTTCGATGTAAATTTATAATTCCATTACTTGAAAACTTCCTTCCTGACTCTGATCTTGTTATCAGTGGTTGTCTTCAGTTAGTCGAGCTAGAATGGCAAAAATCCCTTAGTCATATAGGTTTATTATGTGGTTTTATCTACAGTTATATTAATTTGTTTACTTTTTTACTGAACATCTTTTGGTATCAGCCTATTCAGCAGTCATAACAACATTTTAATCTTCCTGATAGTCTTTAGAAAATAGCAGTTTCCCGTCATAGGTGTAAATGAATCATGCACTAAATGCATTCACTTTCCTTGTGATTTTCTAGGCTGCGACTTTCCAGAAGAGAAAGACCTAATTAATAATGGAACATAGGCTTAAAATGGCAGATAAAATACGGTTTCTGATGCACTTTACACTAAATTACAAAGACAAATTTTTATAGAAAGAGGCCCTTTTAGCAAGTACTTGCCTAATTTGGGCACAGATATTGCACTTCAGTGTCTCGAACTCTACTAAAGAGTAGAGAATAGGTTATAGACAGAATCTGTACAGTTTATGTATATTCTTTACAGAAAATGTATATACAAATTATATCAACAATATATTCTTCAAATAAAGGTAGAAAACATAAAAAAGACAGAGGCAAAAATATAAGAGATATTTATACTCACTACTGTGCATTTTTGTACAAAACACTAATAACAAAAAACTGGAGACTAACAACAAATATCAAACAAAAAGACAAACAAAATACGACCTTATTTATACCATCTAATGTTATCTGAACAAAAGTTGAAACAAACTAAAGGTACTCTTGGAAAATCAGATATTTTCTAGTTTTCCATTTGTTACCTACTAGGTCTACAAAAATCAGAATGGAAAAAAATCAGTAATATTGCACATTTTGGTAAAAAAATAAATGAAAAAAACTACTGTGCATCAGAAATACTATACATTACACATTAGTATCTGTCATGATAAGCCTTTCTGTACAAAAGGTGTGAAATTTTCTATTTCCTTTTTAAAATATACATTCTAAATTAAACAAATTGTAAATTTATTTTTATCTTTTGACTAAGGGTCTAGCTCTAGAGTCTATTCTGGTATCTGTGTCTATTTACATAGCTATTTACAAACCTAACAATTTGGAATATTCATTGAAATTGGATCTTAAATTTTGATTGTATACATTTTGTTGAAAAATGTAAATTAGCCATTGTAGCTTTACAAGGGATGTTCTTCCATAATGGGAGAATCATCCCTAGAGGCTCTAGCCTTTTGGCCTGGAGTGAAGGTTTTCAAAGAAATGACTTTAACTGAATCATCACTAGGATGAATCCTTTCAGACATAGTATAAAACTGAGATCTTGTACTAACTTGCACTCCGTGATCAAGAGACAGTAGTCCTTCAGGTCCAGCCTCTTGCCCCCAACCTTGCTGCAAACCCATTGGTGGCCGCGCAGGGCTGTGATGGTGGGCAGCAGCCTGTGGCAGAGGAGGGCTGTGGTGGATTACAGCAACCTGTGCTGGTGGAGGGCTATGGGGAAGAGCAGTAGCCTGTGCTAGAGGAGGACTGTGTTGGAGAGCAGAGACCTGTGTTGGTGGAGGGCTATGGCACAGTGCCATAACCTGGGTAACTGGAGGGCTATGGCAAATAGCAATGGTCTGTGTCACTGGAGGGCTGCGGCGGCGAGCAGAGGCTGGTGTCAGGGGTGGGCTGTGGCATAGAGTAGAGGCCTGTGTGTGTGAAGGGCTGGCGTGGGTCAGAGAAGCTGGCATCCAGCAGGCATCAGAATGGCCCAAGATGAGACATTCTTGAGTGCAGTTGTCAGAGGCCTCTTCCACAGTTGGTTGAACAGTTATTTCTGCAGCTGATAGGGTGGGAAACAAATGATAAAAAACATATTACAAAAGGCATATTTTTATGAGCTACTTAAAATAAATCTTATTGTTACAGGAAAAATTAAAACTATCTATATAAATACATTAGAGACTTACAATATTTTAATAATTGATTCTTGATTTGTCAAGAGATAATTCCTAGAGAAACAGCAATAACCAGGAGTGGATGGATGGGTCTCATTTTCATAATTAGGATACTTTGGCCTAGTCTTCCAAATGTATATATTTTTCATTGTGTTTGTGATGATAAATAGAAACTATGATCATTGATCTATACATAAAAGTCAGTTAATATATGGCTTCTAACTAACACAAAATAAGGACATAAGTGAAATGAATAGGAAAACCAGTCATAGAAACATATAATGAACTAACCAATTATAGCTAACCATTTGGTTAAGAATCTAATGAATTAATTTGATAATAAATCAAAGAATAAATTAGGTTAATTTGAAAACATAGTTTATTGAACTCTAAAATGCCTTTTTGTTTCAAGAATGAACTATAGCTACAATTATCTCAAAGGTAATTGATTTCTGTATTTCTCATTTTTCTGAAATCATGACAAATCAGTATAGCAACATAATGAACTACAGATATAAAGTACTTAGTGCTAACGTACCAGTAATACTTTCTAAAACTCCTTTATAAGGTTTCTATAAAGTTTTCAAACGCCAATAGGTTTCAAATGTGAATAAGTACACCATACAAAAACTCACAAAATCAAGATAGAGTAGCTATATCAATATAAAAAATAACTTTAGAACAAATAATGTTATTAGCTATAATGAATGAAATTGCATCATGATAAAAGGTTCAATTCTCTAAGAAGACATAATCCAAAAATTAAAAAATATAAATTCCTGATCCTATAAATCTTCAAAAAAAATATAGACTCCAAGTACTGTTATTATCCTATCACACTTACAACTAAAGAACAAGATGTATGCGAACTGACTTTTATTAAGACTAAATATCTCTATTAGGTAATCATTTATGTTTCTTCATTTAAAAAATACCCCCATAAGATTAAAATTTAAAATATTATATCTTCTACCCAACCATATTTGAGAAATAGTTAGAAAGATAGAGTTTTATGTATTTTGAGTGATTTTAAATTATAAATTGTGCACAGAAATATATGAATGCACATATAACTATAAGTTAAAGAAAAATTTAATTTCTTGGTCATCATAAAAGCAAATGATCTGGAAGACTTAAGTTTTACAACAAAATAATACATTATAATTTCAACATTGAGTCATTTGCCTATTTATGATAGAGAAATTCATACAAAGTCACTTTCACTGAAAGGAAATATTACTTATAAGCATTCTTTTAAACAGCTCTATTGAGATATAATTTACCCATTTAAAATGAACAATTTAGTAGTTTTTATTATATTCACAAAGTTGTACAACTATCATTACAATCAATTTGGGGATATTCTTATCCTATAAAAAGAATCCTCATATACATTAGCAGTCTCAGCTCATTTTCCCCTAAACTCCACAGCCTTAAGCAACCATTAATCTACCTTTCTTTTCTTTTATATATTAGCTAATTCTAAACATGTAATATAAATTAAATCCTTCAACTGGAGTCTTTCGTGACTAGAATTAAACTAACTGATATCAAATTATACTACAAGGCTATAGCAATCAAAATGCATGGTACTCGCATAAAAACAGACATATAGATCAATGGAACAGAATAGAGAGCACATAAATAAACCCATACCTTTAAGTTTAACTAATATTATGGCAAAAGAGGCAAAAACATGCAATGGAGTAAAGGCGGTCTATTCAATAAATGGTGTTTGAAAAAAATGAAACTAGATCACCTTCTTAAACCCTAGATAAGATTTAACTCAAAATGGATTAAAGACTTAATGTAAGACTTGATGCCATAAAACTCTAGAAGAAAACACAAGCAGTAAAATCTCAGACTTTTTAAAATAATTGTTTAATTCCATCATTCTTTATTATATCTTTTACATATTACAACCATTATGGAGATAATTGAATATATTTAAATCAAGATGATTACTTCAAGAGGAAAAACACATGCAATTCAAAAAGCATACATAATCAGACATTTTTCATAGCAATATTTGTTCTGACATATCAGGCAAGGGAAACAAAAAAAATAAATAGGACCATATCAAACAATTTTTTTTTTTTACACAGCAAAAGAAATCATCAACAAAACAAAAGAACAATCTACTAAAATGGGAGAAGATATTCATCAATGATACTTCCAATAAGGGATTAATATCCAAAATTTAAAGAACTCATACAACTCAAGACCAAGAAAACAAGCAATTCAATTAAAAAATAGACAGAGAATCTGAATAGACAACTCCCCCAAATAAAACATACGGATGGCCAATAGACAATTGAAAAGATGCTCAAAGTCACTAATCATCAATGAATTGAAAATTAAAACCACAATAAGATATGAACAGGTAACATTAATAAAACAACAGACAACAGTGTTGGTGACTATGTAGAGAAAAGATAACCCCTTGCACTGTTTGTGGGGATGCAGATTGGTGCAGTCACTATGGAAAACAATATAAAGTTTTCTAAAAAAAAATGGAACTACCTTATTACCCAGTGATTTCATTTCTGGGTTTATATATCTGAAGAAATACAAAGCACCAGTTCAAAAGAATACATGCACCCCCATGTTCATTGCAGCATTATTGAGAATAGTGCAGATATGGAAGCAACCCAAGTGCCCATCAATAATTGAGGGGATAATAAAGCAGTGGTACAATATATACAATGGAATATTACTTGGCCATAAAAAAAGAATAAAATCTTACAATTTGTAACAGCATGGATGGACTTAGAGGGTATTATGTTAAGTGAAATAAGTCAATCAGAGAAAGACAGATTCCATATGATTTAACTTATTCATGGAATCTAAAGAGTACAATAAACAAAATAGGAACAGACTCATAGATACAGAGAACAGACTGATAGTTGTCAGAGGGGACAGGTGTCAGAGAGTTGGGTGGAAAAGTTCAAGGGATTAAGAACTACAAAGTGGTAGACACAAAAGAGTCATGGGAATGTAAAGTAGGGATA